GGACTGAATCAATATGAGGAGCCTCAACACTGACACTCGTCACAAGACCCCAAATAATAAAGGCAATCCTTCCCAGCCGTCCGCTGGGTCTTTGAAATATAAGACTCTCCCCAATAGGACATAATCTGTCGAACATCGCCACTCAATTCGTGGCATTTTCCGGCATAGCCAACCGCGCCATCTTATCGTAATAGTCCAGAATAACACAACACAGAAACAACCAGTCTACACCCAATATAATATCCAAAATCTAACATACCAAGCAAAGAAAGATCCACTCGGGCTTCCAAATCCCGGTAATTGCTAAACAGTGCCGATGCACACGATCTACGATCACAACATAGCCTGGATATGAGAATTTCCGGTCTCCAATTCCATGTAGCACACAAATCACCATACCTGATCCCAAAATTCCGTCGTCCGAATACATATCACACCTCAGGTACCCATTCATTCCACGAATGATATTATAAAATTCTTCTATGCCATCAAGCAAACTCGAATATCAACAGTCGATCCAACAAGAAAGTGCCGCAATACTACCAAAGTATCATCAGTTTAATCACATTACCCTTTTTCTAAGACATATACTCTCGTCAAATCACTTCCAATTAGCAGTACCATTTCCCTGATTATCCGAGGCTACCCGTTGCCTAAGAGTTTATGAACTTCCTTCCAGAACTGAACTGAAACCTCATACACGCAAATCTCGATCCTCCACAATGTACCACATATACCATACCATCCAAGGATAACAGGAAAACTTTTATCTCTCTTCCGAGCCACAGGCATCTACACACTCAAATAGTCAAGAGCTTCCATTGATCCCATCTAGATGAAAACTCATTACACATCCCATGCCTCTCATATTCATAGAAAATACACCTCTCCAACCACGGTAGGAATCAACAAGAACTCCCCCAATTCCGTTTGCACAAATTAAACTGCCAGGACTGAATCCTTCTAACTATACCAAGCTAAGCAAGCCATCAAAACCCATGAGCATTGCTGCAAAATACCTGTAGGAACCCATTACCTCGAACACATATAAAGAATTGATCATATCCTTACCATACCGATTCGATCTACTATCGAGCTACTCCATCTATCTAAATTTCCTTCTGATTCATTTCCAACTTGATGCTTCCTCTTGCTGTAGTGCCACAATCTCTCAACCCAGATTTACCTCACGAGATCCAGGCATTAGTCCACGCTGTCTAAGACCCATAAGCCGCTTAATACTCTCTTAAATCTTCCCAAAACATCACGTTCCCGAATACTTTAATCTGAAACTTCCTGCGAATCCGAATCTGTTACCTTTACTTTCCTGGTACTGAACATAGGAACCCATAATTCACATCGAAATACTACAAGTCTTGCCCCATTCCAATGAAAACAACAGCTTCTAACCACATATGCAACTTTAAA